AAAAAGGACCCACGTTAACAGAGGATTAACCCTTAAAAGCAACAGCCTGTTGCATATTCATACACCTCATCCATGATGCATAAATTCCATTCAAACACAGGATTCTGTCTGGGCAGTGTCAGCTTCTTCCTCTGAATCCTGACGGCATCGTCCTGCCCGAACGAGGTGGGAAGAAGTTCATTTCTCCTGATAATGGGGCAATAAATTCTCTGAAAGATTTAGGTGTCCTGTGGCTGCTATCTCAGTGTGAGTCCTTTCTTTAGAAAAAAAAAAAAGTATTCTACATAGCATAGTTTCTATTTTAACATTTTGTTGTAACCTAAAACTATATTTAACACACTACTTAAGAAAATTAATAGAGCATAACTGTCTAACATAACACACATAATATTCATTTTAATATTTGTGAAAAGCCAATCATAAAATCCGCATTTTTCACAGGGGGTCAGCAGTGCCAGGGGGGTCGCCTGTGTGAACACATTTGTGTTTACTGAACTTGTAGAAATAAAACCATATGGAGCAGATGAACCACCTGAGTGAAAGGGGGTCAGGAGTTGGAATGAGCTGCCCAGGGAGGTGGTGGAGTCACCATCCCTGGAGGTGTTTAGGTGAGACTGGATGTGGCACTCAGTGCCATGGCCTGGGTGCCAAGGTGGTGCTGGGTCAGAGCTTGAGCTTGATCTCAGAGGTCTGTTCCAATTGTTACTGTGATTGTCTCTCTGAAAACAGTATTCAGTTGCAGGTAATTGGTAGTGCTCTGGTTTCCCGTGGCTTTCTGCCTATTCATTTGTGTTGGGTCTGCACAACTGCTTTGTAAAGGTGGAAATGTGCTTGAAAGATGATGAACTTCCAATGCAAAATAAAACCAGAGTGCTTGTAGATCTCACACACTGGAACTGTGGGGCTTTCTGGTTCAGGTTTGCATGTAATAGTGAAATTAAAACTTGGCACTACTTTCAGGCTCATTTAGAGAAATTGTCCCTAGGTAATGTAACAATTAAAGGACCAAATTATCCTTCAGTGCTTGCATTCTTCAAAAAAAGGCAAATATTTTAGAATCCTGTAGCAGTCAAGAGGTACCAGTGAAGTCAGCTGGCCTAGAAATTATTTCATGTGTCCTTGGTATGGAAATGCATTGAAGTTTCACAACAAAAAGGCAAACATAACTTACTGTGACCTGTTTTCTAGCCTTGGGACAAGATTAAATTTGAACTGGTGACAGGTATCAGAGTATTTGCTTAAGCAAACAAAGTAAAAGTTAAGTCTTTTGGAATGTTCAGTCAGCCATTTCTGCATGATTTGCATGATAAAATCTCAAAGAATGGAATAGGAACACTTTTCATATGTAAAGTAACAATCATCAAGTTCTTCCAGAATGTTCTACCTTCATACTGAAATGTTCTGCAGATTTTTCCGTAAGTTAGGTGGAGTAAAAAGGCAAATTTATCATCTTAAAGACAATTTTCTGATGGTATCCCAAACAGATTAAGCTACAATTGCATTTCCTTAATCCAAACATTTTGAAAGTAAAATTACTTTTACTTGAAGCTCTGTCACTACTGATGCCACAATATTTTGTTTACAGCAGAGCAGTTCTAGTCAGAGGCCACAAGTAACATTTTTTTGGGTCTTTTTGTCCCTCCTTGCAAATCCTCTCAATTTTTTAATGACACTTAAGCTTATTCCTGTTTTTTAATAGATTTTTCATAGTGCAGACTTAGAGTGATTTTTAGCTATTTCTTGGCTATTGTCTCCAAATACATAAGAGAGGTTTTAGTCCTAGATTGTCCTGTTTGTGCTTTTAAAGATTAGTTTTTTTCTCTGACCTGAAGCTTCCTTATTTTTTAATGACTTGCAGATAATGAGCATTGGCAATGAGATCTTCAGAAGTCTTGTAGGGCTCCAGGATGCTGATTCAATAATATCCCACTTTTAGTAGTCCTTTTTAAATGTCACTCTGAATTTGGCTAAAGCTATGATGTGATATGCATCATATCTTGCATTCCAAAAAAGCAACAACTCTGAGAAATTCCTGTCTTTTCTGTATTCTTGTTGGGAGATTTCACCCTATGAATGTCATAATGGACAATCTGATTATTACAGATGTTTTCATAGATGGATGCATTTGCTTTTATATTAATGTACACTTCTGATTGTCTTTGTCTGCTGGAAAGCAGGGAGTTGTTTTGGTTTGGGTTTCTTTTCCAGTTCCTCACTTCCTCTTACTTCTGTTTCCCAAGCTGGTTACATATTGTTGCTGCTATTTTTAGCTTCTTTCTGACTTTCATTAATCTTGAATTTCCAACATTGTCATTATGACATTTGGGATGAATGTTTTCTAATTAAATTCACCTCTTTTGAACTGCCCTGATTTAAAGGATCTGTCTAAGAAAAGACATATTTTAAATATAATGTCATTGCTCAAGATGCACCTTTTCCTGACACAGATACAGTCAGCAGCTCAAGGTTTGGCTACAAACCTACTCAATTTCTTGTTTTTCAGGTCAAAGTAACATCCAGTCAGGCTTTGCATGGCATGAGGCAGAAACAGGATTTTCTAGCATGGTGAGTACTTGTAGAATCAACAGGCTGATGATTTCTAATGACCAAGAATTCAGGAGACACTGCATCCTAAATACGAGCAGAAGGGGGTCAGTAACCTGCCAAGTAAATTCTCTTTCACCCCTACATGTTTGAGAGGTGGCTTCAGGGAGGAATTTAGGAAAGGCTCATTGTGGAATGACTTAATGTGAGCTCTCATGAGGATGGAAAGGAGCACTACCAGGGGGAAGTTCACAAATGGAGGTTGAAGGAGCTGTTTAAAATTATAATACAGCTAGGGATTTAATGATGATGTTCATGAGAAGACCTTGAGGGATCATGTAGCACAGGATGTTTTTCCCTTTAGTACTCACTGATTTCAATTGTAAGCTCTTCTCTCTGTCATTACTTTGCTCAATGTAAACTTTTCCAGCCTCTTTGCCTTTTTTTTTTCTTTCCAGAGAAGACAGACCAGAAGTGTCTCTTTTTCCAGGTTTTAGTTTGCTGCTTTTCCAGGCCAGTGTCATTCAATGGTTCCAGAAATAGCTAGGAAAGATCTTGCAAGGTCACAGAGTTCCTCTGTGTTATCTCCTTGGCCCAAGGCAGGATCTAATAACATTAACATGCTCTCAAGCATCCTAGCAGACAATCTTAAAAATCTCCAGGAGTACAGACTCTCCTATATCCCTAAGCAATTTAAGATTATTTTAATAGAAATTTTTGCCCACTAACATATAAATGAGTAATAATATAAATAAATAATCTAACATGATTCCATAGATTGTACAGGGGCACTCAGGTTTTGACATGAACAGCAGAGACACAGGTTTATGAACCTGACTGCTGTATTTATGAAAGAACGAATGATTAAATTATGTGTAATTTGCTGCAATAATGGTTCCAGGCATGTTCATTGGAACCAAAGCCCTCTGAGATAAGGTCAGCTGATGGACAAGAATTACATCCACAGGATGGTCAATAAGTGTCACTTTAGTGGCATCCTTTCCACTGGCTTCTTGGGAAAAGAAAAACAAGAGTATAATAATGTTCAGTGATGCAGCAGATGTTTCAAAGTCCTCCTCAAGGAGGAGATTACCCTGCTACCTAAATTAGGCATATTATGGAGTTTCAGAAATGCAAACTGTCCAAGCTAGGTTTGAATTGGCTAAGAAAGTTTTGGATTTAAACAATGTTGGTGAGGCCTATGATACTGGCTTTTTGGTCTTTTATTTGTCTGGTGCCTGTTCTGCCCCTACAACACGAGGAGGAAGGAGCAGAGCAGGAGAGAAAATACAACTGGATGATGCATTTGGTTTGCTGTAGAGGAATCATTTACCTTTGCATTGCTTGTCTGGGTTACCATGACCTGCAAGGGAACATTCCTCTTCCACAGCCAAGGCATTCAGGCAGAGTTAATTGAGCAATTAAATTATCAGGTGATGGAAATAAAAAATCTCATCCACACAGAAAGGTTTAGCAACCTGGCTCCTCTCAGTTTCTGACTTACTGTTATGTAATGTGTGTGCTGCTACCCAGGTACATCCTGTGCCAAACAAAGAGGGAAGCAGCTGTTCTGACTTTAGCTTTAGAGGGCATGGCATCCATGACTTCTGTCAGCCTACCACAGAAGAAGGTGACAGCTGGGGGTTTGGAGGAGACACTGTGGTTGTGGAGTGTCCATTTAATAGAACTTCCATTCCCAAATTCTCCTTTCTGTGTAGGAATTTGTAGTAGTGGCTGCGATAACAAACACATAATAAACCCTTTCTTTCCAGCTGGGTCTGTTGCACCTGTAAATATCCAAGAAGGGGTGAGAAAAGTTAGACAGTGCTGGTGGGTTTATATAGAATTGCAAATGGAAGCAAATTCCAATTTGGAGAAGAGTAACAGAGATAATTAGTGTCTTAGTGAAGATCCATTTGGTGTGACAAGTAGAGGCAATCTAAAATGCACCTGTTTTCTGAGAACATTGATGGGATATTTGGCTTTGCCAGCTGTCCAGCCTGGCAATTCTGGGAGTGACACTGATGTAATAAAAGCACATCAGAATTCTAGATCCTGCTTCCTGTACAGAGCAACCAGTACACAGATTGTTGTTTTAGCTACAAAATTGATAATGGTGAAAACCACATTGTCCATAGTGCCCTTTTGAAATTCTCAAGGGAAATTAATTCTGAGGACAGATCCAGACTCTGTTGTCCAGAATGCTTTAAAGCTGAGGGAGAGACCAGCCCTGGTCATCTCTTCTGTTGTGTGCACAAAGTTCCCAGCACCAATATTATGTTAAGACTCTGTGCTCCTGAATCTGAGAACTGGCTCTCTAGGCTTTATTTTGATCCATGGAAAGTAAAGGGTATGGCCTGACTGTGGGTCATGGACCAGATTTGGTGGCAATGTTTCTCTTTAGGCAAGTGAGTGTTTTGAGAAGCTGTGCAGTGTGGGGGCCTGAATATATGTTGTATTGTAAGACCTGTGTGGTTCCGAGTTACTCCAAACGAGCTGCAGCTGCAGGGTCCTTAGTTGGGCAGCAGCTGTAGCTCGTGAAGGTAACTGAGATAAATAGGGGTGGGTCAAGAGCCCAAGAGGAGCCCCTGAGAAGAAAGGAAGGACTGTGCTGCAGAGAAAGGAGAAGAGCCCCAGCAGAGAGGGAGGAACAACGCTGCAGCAAGGATTACAACAGTGCAGCAAGACACCTTTATCAAACCTGTTTATCTCCTATCCAACTTGCCCAGAGGCAAAATAGTGACAAAAGTCTACTTGTATAAATATACTAAATTTCATCTCTGTCCTTCAACTGTGAAATCTGATCTCTGGAACTCTCATGAAGACATCTACTTGATACTTGCAATGTAAATCAGCCTGTATTTGAGTATCTTGGGATGTTCACTTTATCTTTGATCAATAAGTTCTCCCATTTTATTGTCTCCATGTAACCTGATGACTTAAGCAAATCTCCTGGTGCACTTGGATTTTTGATTTAAAAAAACAGCTCTGGGAGGTTGGAAGCATTTGTCCCCTCTGCATGGGAAGGTTGTCAGCCTCTGATCTCCAATTTTGTAAATAAAGGTCATGGCTCTTGTTGGAGAGACCAATTAATATATCAGAGTATCAGGCTTAATGCAGAGATACCATCCAAAGAGTGCCCAGGTCACCTTTGCTGCTGTTTATTTGCTGTAGCAGATAGTTAATCTGTTTGCTACCTGTTCTATTTCTCTTGCTCAAGAGCATTAGCAAATGTTTATTTGACAGAATGTTCTGTTCCTCTCCTATTTTTTTTTTACCTCCTTTGTCCTAAGAGAATGAAGGCAAATCCCAGAGCAGCTCCAGGTTGGAAACATCGTGTTGCAAGCTGGACTCTAATCAGAGCAATTTTATTACTGCTGATGGGAAAGAGTAGAAAACAATGGGCTGCCAAACAGGGGAAAAGCATTTAACTAAAGGGTAAGAAATCAGAAGAGAGGAGATGCTTACAGCATTCACCTGAAAACTCTAAGCAAATTGCATGGCAAGGTGAATAGGTTATTTTCACCAGTAGAAGGAAAAGGCAGATCTGTGAGCAGCAGCAGCCACTGTCCACTGCTGGAAACAGCACTGCTGCCTGATGGCTGCCCTCCTGTTGTTTTGGTGGCAGGCTGGGCTTGAAGGATCTCACTCAAAAATATCCAAAACACTCAGTGCTAATCTCAGAGGCATTGCTTTCCAGTAGACCAATCAATTAATTTTCTCCTAATGCTGTTGATTCAATGTGCACTGAAAGTGTGGCACATGTTACAAATCCCAGTCATTCTTCTATGTACATATGATGCCAAGCAAGTGGCAGCTGCCAATGCTGGTTAACACTTGAAAATGACAGAAATCCTGGTTGCTGCTGGCAGAAGGGGAGTGGGAAATGAGAGGCTGGCAAATGACAGGCTAGCAAATGACTTGTCAGAAACAAACATTTATATTGATACATGGTTGGTGCTAGAATGCCACTGTCAGAGGTAGACATTTAGGAGGGAAACAAAATAATGATAAGATGTTAAACCCCCTCATCTTTTGCACTGTGCCCCAGGAAAAGGTAAATTTTACTCATGACCCAACAAATGTTCTCAGATTTAGTTCCCACAGGACAGTTTGCTGAGCCATATACTGTTACCCAGTCAGAATGGCCCTGCTTGTTTCTGTGGTTTGGATTCTGGTGTATTGAAGGGTTGCTTTGGTGTTTTAGGCAGACATAGGCCCTGAAAGAGCAGCCTAGGGATGTCCTTTTTCTGTTACTTCATCTCTGTCCTTTTCTCTGCAAGAGGCAAGGGAGGCTGCCTGGCTTTGGGGCAGTCCAGGAAATACGATGGTACAGGTCTGTATCTGTTTTCACCCTGTGGCTGTCAGGCACCCCAGCATCTCTGTCTCCATGAAGGAGCTGATTGTTTGGGATGGAATGCAGACATCTACCTGCAGACATCCAGCTGCTCTCTACCTTGTTGTTAGGTATTTTCAGGCAGAAAGAGGATGACAGCCCCTGCCTCTCCTGTCTGACAGGCACTCTGGATGGGTGGAAGAGGCTAAATTAAAACCAGCAGAAGTGGACTTTCCTGTTTTTCTTGATAACTGGTGGAAAGGAGAGAAGGGAGCAGTCTGTGCACTGCAATTAACATCAGGTGCTATTGCAACTCATCCTGTAATGCGATAGAGATACAATCTCAGCAGAAAATTGAATGCTGCAGCTGAGTCAGAAACACAGCAGTGCTGGGTTTTGAAGAAAGTAATTAGCCCCAGGGACCCAGTGGTTTCTCATTTCCCCTGTGGCAAACAAACACAGGGAAGTGGGGCAGTATTTCCCATAGGCTTCCAAAGTCAATTTAGACAAGGTACAGAGCCAATTTATAAATCAGAGTTTAATGAATGCTTAACAAGAAGCAGGCACACCTTTGTCCTTCCTGTCCACCAAGTACCACTCGGTGCCATTCTGCTTTTTTCTGTGAGTTCTGAGTGCCCCATCTCTATCTGGGGCCTGTGCCAGCCCAAGCCCCTGTAGAGAACACAGCAGCAATGCTTTGGCAGTGTGTGACAGACCTGGCAGGGGCACCGGGCACCACCCTCAGCCATGGCCAGGTGCTCTCACCTGTGCTCACCTCACCTTCCTGCACAGCAGTGGCCCAACCCTTCCTTGGGCTGCCCTGCACTTGGCCTTCACAAAAGCAATGATTTGAGGGTTTGCAGAACTCACGGATTATGAATTCTGCTTTTTTTTCTCCAGCAGAAGATCAGAAGCAGGACTCTTGGTGGCCAAGAAAATTTTAATCTTACTAAAGACAGGACATACTGGGCTGAAAGCTACAGTTTACAATTAATATAAGAGGCAAAGAATTGAGCTGATAGGTAACACAGCAGGGATGAGAGTAGTCTTTATTTATGCTCTATCTTTAAATGAGAATTAAGTTTAGAGCTCAAATATATACAGACTGTGCTTGCTCTGGGTGACTGCAACTTCCACCATCCAGGATTTTTGCTCCTGCTTTCCTGACATAGCACTTGTCACCTTCCAGTGGTTTGTCACATACAGAATAAAATCTGCAAAGCCTCTGGGGCATAATCACATCCTTGTCTCTTGTGAAATGCATAGTCAATTTGAGGCACTGCAGGGAAATGAAATGCTGTATTTCAGTGAGTTTGCCACACTGGTTTGTGTGTTCCTGCACCTCTTTCCCTGAAGCTGCACTCAGCAGCCACTACCTCACATGATTTATGTCTTACAATTAACACTTTTGTTCAACATTTGTCTAGAAGTGCATGGCCAATGTAGCCTAGTCTGTGTGTTGCCTCAGAGGAGAGTTTTTCCCCAGCCTTCTTTGATTCAGTTGATGGAAAGACAAAATATGATAAAGGTCATAATCTGAAATATAATTATTTTCCTGGTTTTGTATCTTAAAGTATTGGTTGCAGGCGTTTGCTTAGGAAGTAAATGCAAATCTCATCATTTGGACTTTTTAAACTGCTGTGTCCTTCTGATCCCCAGCACATTCTCAATCTTCTGGGTTCTCTAAGTGCCCTCTAGTGACTAATTCTCTGAACGGTGTTGGGTTTTCATTGTCGGTGAGAGAGCAACCATTGAAGGGGTGGCTGATGAGGGCAGGAGCTGCATAAACGTCCTCATATTAATGAGGGCAGCACTGGTTTGTTCTGCAGAAGTAAATAGAAATGTTTATTGAGCAGTCTGCAGAAAGCTCCGGGCAGCAAAGGAGTGAATGTAGGTGCTGCTGTTGTGGAAATGTCTGAGTCAAATCAAGTACAAACCACTGGAAGAAAAACTGTTCAGCTGACACTGCACAGCACTTGAACGGTTTAGTGAAGTGTGGCATTAATGAAATTTTCCTGAATATGAAATACTGATGTTCATATACTCTACAGTAATTTACTATGTTGAATTTATTTTCTCAATAAATTGACAACTCAACAGATCAGTGCTGTTAGCATTGCTTTTCATTCTGCAGTAAAGTGCTGGTTCTTATTTCTGGTTGTGCTTTAGGTATGGGTTTTTTGGTTGTGTTTTTCCTTTTTCAAAGTAAAAAATTCAATGTCTTTTTAAATGCTTAACTGCATCCATTAATATAGGCAGTGTAGGAGTTCAGTTCAGGAACTGATTTATCTGGGCTATTAAAGTCATATGACAATGTGCTGAGGGCCAGATATGGAGGTGTTGTGCAGACTGGCACATACAGAGTTTCTTTATGTTCTTACATTGTATTAGCTGCCCACCAAGTGCTTTACTCCCACTCAGTTGGCAGGTGAGGGATGCTGGGGCGGTGTAATTTACGTGGTAAGCTCATCTCACCATCTAAGCATTAAGAACATATAATTGAGATGCACCTCACCTTGTTTGAACTTGCTTGTTTTTTTCTGTCCTGCTCTGTATTTGTGTTCAATACTATAGACCATAGACCTTGAATGTGGTTCAGTACTACAGGCTATAGACCTATAGGCCTGGCATGACTGGGCATTTACAGAAATATAAATTTTGTTCTTCAACAGGTAGCATAAATGTTGCGGAAAGCAGAGTTTTATTTGGATTTAACAAAAGCTCTCATCTGCCTGGAAGAGATATGGGAGAATTGAAGGGAAGAAAGCAAGCTGGGATTGGCTCTGGAAATGATCAGGAAAAGTGGACTGTGGAAGGAGCAGGTACAGCTGGGATTTAGAGGACATGTCAGCCTGTATGATGAACCCCTATGACGTAACTCGTGTGTAACCAACAACAGGACACCTTACACCTTTAAATTTGAGTCTGTTTTGCCCTTAGATGATTTTTCTCTCAATTCTTAACTCATAATTGATTAATTATTTTTCCTTCCCTCTTCTCAACATAGCAGAAGAGAGTGAATGACCTTTGTGGGTGCCTGGTGTTTGGCCAATATCAAACCACAAGTGTATGCACAGGTCCCTCTGCAGACACAAAAACTTGGTAACTCATCAGGCCTCTCCTTCCCTGAGTCATTGAGCACAGATTGCTCTTTGCTCCAGCATTCATGTGGCCTTTGGGTGTTCTAAAGCAGCAGCCCCCAAGCACCAAACATGGTGTCTGCTACAGACTTTGTATCTCTCCCCCTGAAAACATCAAATCATGTTGGGAAAAGAAGCTGCTAGTTCCAGATGGATCACAGAATGACATCGTGGATCCACTGAACCAAACTGAAAGTTTTAAATTAATTTTAAGGTAAAAGGAGAAAAAGAAACACCCAACACCACAGAACTGAAACCCTGCTCTTCAACAGGGAGAACAACATCTCTCTGTTGGTGTCTTGCACAGAATTTCACTGGACTGGAGCTAATGTCTGCTTCAGAGGAAAGGATTATGGGGATTGTAAGAGAGGTTTCTAAGGAACAGAGGAATGGTCTGATCTGAGTAAAGCAAATAATGAGGCCTGCTGGCAAATGAAACACTGAGCCTAACATCAAGCTGTAAATGAGCAGAGATGAATATGCTGTTAGAAGCTGCTTTGTGGAAGGACTTAACAAAAGTGTTTAGTGAATGCAAACCATCTTGCACCCAGAGAAGTGAGGAGGGAACAGTGCAGATTCATAGCAGTAGGTATTCACTACCAAAAGCTGCTCTTTTGAACACTGGTGGGTTAAACTAGTACAAAGTAAATGAGTAACTTTACATTTCAACAGCAATTTATGTGCAAACTCACAGAGGAGAGGAGATTTGTGGTTTCTGTTTTGTCTAAAGCCCAAAGGATGCTAATAAATGAATGCACAGCAGGAATTGCTCTTGTTCTCTCCTTTGTTCTTACCCTGGGAAGGTCTAGAGTTATTTGTCCCACTGTCCCCAAGTGGACACACTATGCTAAATGGTGTAAGAGTTAATCTGTGTAAGTTTTGAACGGACAATTTTATTTCATTGACCATGGAATAAGCATAAGTTTAATGTCTCAAATAAGTTTAAGAAGAAAAATCATTGTATAAACTGGCCATGCCTGCCTGCCAGCGTTAATAATATCACCATATTCTCCATGGCCAGGTGGAATAAAAAGCCATCCTCATGGCAAGGAATGGGACTCTTAAATACTGTTTTCATCTTCCCAGTGTTTGCAGAGCACATAGGTGGTGGTTGGACTGAGGCTGGAGGGAGCAGGGGTTGTGCTGTATTCTCAGTTGTGGTCACTGCAGGGGTGGCTGAGCCTGGGTCTTCACCAAAGCAGGCAGTCACCAGCTGTGGTGTGTGACACCATGTCCAGCCCATGCAGCTGTCCCTGGGCACCAGAAGCTGGGTGAGAAGTATCTGGTGATGCTACAACAACCTCTGATGGCAGTGGCTTCTCCCAGCACTGCTGCCTCTTGCCTCACCTGTCTGATCATTCTGGCAGCAGACCTGCCTGCTCATGTTCTCTCACCAGCTGGCTGGACCTACTTCTGTTCCTGTCCTTCATCCTTAGGTCTTCAAATCTTCTTCATCTTCCTTTTTTTCTCTCTCTCTCTCTCTTTGTTTTTCTCTTTTTCTTCTCAGAGCATGAAGGCTCCTTCCAGTGGCTGTGACACTGGAGGCAGGTAAATAAAAGGGATGCTGTCAACCTGTGGTTTTGAATGGGAATGTGATTGTTTTCTCCCAGAGCAACTGCAATGATTTTAATCTGTTTGTTATGAATGTGGCTTCTAAAACCAGTTTGTTCTCTCAATAGGCAGCAAGTGGAGTAGTGAATATTGTGGAAATTGTGGATGAGACCTGGGTGCAGACACAGCATCCTGTTGTGGCCACAGCCATGTCACCAGCACTGAGGAGTGGCACGTGGCAAGGCTGGGTTGGTGGAGACCCAGCAGCTTCATGTCTGGGGAGGCAAAAGAAAAAGCTGAGCACAGACAGGGGAGGGACATCCCAGCACCAAAATAGCTTCAAATCTGCCAGGAGGACTGGGGATAGAATCTATGTCAAAAAGGGGAACCTGCAGCATCCTCATGGTGTCTGGCATGGAACACATGTTGTTTGGGACAAATAGGTGTATTTTTGAGATTATTCCATGACTCAAATATGACTTCTATGACATTGGATTGACTCTCTCATCTCTGTTTAGTTTCTCTTGCATGAGCATTTTGACAGGGGAGAAGGAGATGAAAAGGAGATGAAACTGTATCAAATTGCTGACAACAACAGTGCAACAATGCCAGTGCTTGACAAGTTTCTTGCTCAATTTCACCTATTCTGGCACAATCAGGCACAAACCTTAGGGTCAGTTTAGGAATGAGATGCTTGCAGAGAGCCCTGTGTTAGAAAGCAGGGAAGGGAAGAGTTTTTCTGGGACTGCAGACATGCTGTTTGGGTTGTGGTTTTTGAGGGAGAACATTTGAGGATAGGTGAGGAACCCAGTCCCACTTTTCTTTGAGACAAGTACAAACCCCTTTCTGCCCTGTGAATGTCATGCTGTGAGTCAATAACCCTACATGTTGTACACAGGTCCCTTACACTGCTGTTTAATTACATCAATACTGATGTATACTGGACCAATATCATGGTCAAACTGATGTAAAAAAAATTGAAAATCACAGATCAGGTGGCAGGAATTTCGTGGAATAGGAATGTGCAGTGATCTCTTGTGCCTGTCCTTGTGTGCTGCAAGATTATCCCAATTTCTCACAATTTCTTGTCAGGCTTTATATGAGCTTGTCCCCTAGCTGAACCCTATTTGCCTCAGACAGTGCTCTTTGGCATCTTTTCCAAATGTGATTGCACCCTCTATCGAATGAATTAGAGCTGGTTTTCTACAGACAAATACCTTTTATTCCTACTATGACTACTGATTTATGTGCTACAATAAATTCTACAAGACCTAAATACTAATATAAACTAGGGATTCTTGCAGTGTTATGGTACTCTCTAAAGATAAAATTATGGATGCTTAATGATTCAGGCTCTGAATTTTAAATTTATTTTTAAAATAGAGCAGACTGCACTACATCATTACATCTTTGTTTGCAAACTGTGAGGAAATTTGAAACACAAGCCCAAATTATGGCACTATAAAATAAAATTGCCTCATTTCTTTAGCCTAAGAAGGGGAAGACTTAAATAGAGAAGTGCATCATGTTTTACGGCATCTGCTCTACAGGCCTATCAAAAAATATCTCTGTACCCGCTAAAACCCTTACTATCACGATCCGCCCGCCGGTGCCAATTTGGGAATGAGCGCCCGGCAGCCGCATCTGTCCGGGGCGGGAGCGGCGGCACCGAGCGCTGCCGCACGGAGCGGTGGGTGCTGCGGCGAACGGGGGGCGGCTTCTCCCGCGGGCCCGGGGCTCTCCGCGGCTCAGGCGGTGCCGGTGCGGGGCGGGCGGGAGCAGCGCGGGCGGTGCCGGTGCGGTGCGGGCGGCAGCAGCGCCGGCCCGGAGCCCTCCAGCGGCTCGGGCGGGGGCGGCCGCTGTCGCTGCCGGTGCCGGTGCCGGCGGAGAACGCGGGGAGGGGCCGGTGGCGTCACGGCGCGGCGCAGTGCGGGCCGGGCGGGCAGGTGAGGCGGCGGCCGGGCCGGGCCGGGGGCGCGGGGGGCGGACGCGAGGCCCGGGGCCGTGAGGGGCCGTGAGGGGCCTTGGGGAGCCGGCCTGGCCCGGGGCGGTGGCGCTGCCCGCGCGGCTCCAGCCCGGCCGGCACAAAGGATGGGCAGGCGGCGGCCGGGTCAGCGCCAGGGTCAGGGCCGGCCTTCCCCCGCGGCGCCGATGACTGTGGGGTTTTGGGAGCCCTCGGTAGCCGACGCAGAAAAATCGGAACCAGATTTGCCAGAAAAGTAGAGTTATTTTCGGCGTAGCGGTGGCAGGAGGAGCGGTGAGGGCGGACCACATTGCCCGAGCACTCGCGTTTGTGCGGATAGCAGCCAGCATAGCCAGCATCGCCTTCACTGTGATGTGCAGGTGTTGGTGTAACAGATGTGGAGTGCCAAAAATCCCAAATAACTATTGACACTGAGGGCCAGCAGCCACGCTGAGCGAGAGGTTTCCGGCCTTGCCGCTGTTGTGATCACCAGATCACAACAAATCATCAGATTTACCCGAGGGCAGGTTTGAGATGTCTTCCTGTGAGCCAGCAGTAAGTTGAGGAAGATGGGGGATTGAGGATATAGGCTCAGTTCATAGTTTTACATAGATTTTTTTGCTGGACCAGCGACATGCTGTCAATAATAGCCTTTCATTTCAAGTAATTGCAGGTCACCACGTGTATTTTTGACCCATGCATGGGGGTGGGTCTTTCCTTATATCACTAAAACATTGCCACTTAGGACTTGGAATGCAATCACTTTGCAATACACAGTAAAGGAGATAAAGAATTTAATATGAAATGAAACTAATAGATGAAGATAAGGAGATAACACTTCTGTGCCAATGGCAAGGTATAATAGTAGTGAAGGGGGCTGCTAGCTTGTCTTCTTTGATATGGGTCTGTGAAAGAAAGGGTTTTTTAGAGCAACTGTCATGAATCTGATTGGGTTTTCATTATGTCTTCTTTCAGGTATCTCCTAATTTTCAACAAATTCTCGTTGTGAGGATATTACTTTTTCCTGGAGGCTGATAAAGGTACTCTGCAAAGTAAGTACTCTGCTTGTGAGAGACATGGGTCATAAAAAGTTTTCAGTAATTTGGAGGAACAGTGTTAAGGGGAACACTGGTGCTGATGTCTTCACAAAGTCTCTGTGTGCTTCTCTTTCTGCTGGTCCTTATATGGGACTTAGTGCCTAATGAGCTTTCCCAGCAAGATGCTGCAGTTTGCTGTTGGTGCTGTTTCACTCACTAGTGTGCTCTTGTGAGGGTTTGGTGAAGAGGGTGGGGTGATGTGGAGCTGTTCTTGTGCAGCAGCAGCTTTTGGGCAAGGAGGCATAAGGAAAAGGTCAGACTTCACTCATGAGCTGTTTCCATTTCTGGCAAAAAGAATCAAGAAATCACATGTGGTTCGTTTATGCAGCAGATCTGTTGGCATCTCTCTGCTGTGCTATTTTGGAAACCATTTGGCTGTTTTACCCACCACACTGTGCAGGCTTTGGCTACAGGAGTGACTGATGAGATCCAAGGAGCCTATTCAGCACTTGAGAGCCATTAAACACTGACAGAGGAGTAGCAGTTTTGAGGGTGGCTTGTGGGGCATGAATCTTCTTCTCATGATTCACTTCCTAAGGATCAGACCCCCTCCCTTTGCTGAATTCAGGAATGGAAATAGGAATAAAACCAAACTTGGTCATTGAGAAAAAAGTTGCATTAAGCCTTGGCCTCTGCAAAGGCAGCAGGAGTCCTAGGATCAGTAGCAAAAGGATTTCCTGCCAAAGTGATTTCATGTTGCAGCAGGGGTCTGGAATCTGCTGCCAGGCCACAGCTTTGCATTATTGTAAACATAGACTGAGATTATTATTTATTTTTTTAGCTTGAGCAAGTTTAACTCAAGTGAATTCTACATAAATGTAAACCCTTTGCTGACCCAATGGGAACTTCTGGGAAGTGTGACATCTGTGACTGTTAATTATTTTAAATATTTCAATTTTAATCCTCTGTGATGGTAGGCAAATACTTAGGTAACCTAGAGAGCATCTCTGGTGTCTCTTTTGTGCAAGGATGCAGGAGATGTGCCCATAAAGCACAAATGCCTTCCATCAAGAGATGGGAAGAAGAGGTTTTAGCTAACAGAAAGGCCACACTTCGTATGTGAAATGTTGAGAAATTACTTGAACTTCAGCAAAAAAAACTAAGCAAAGTGTGTGGTGTTTGTAAGGGTTTTAGGATGAAGGAAGAGATGAGAATTTTTATTTTATGTTTTAGAAGGTTGATTTATTATTTTATGATATATATTATATTAAAATAAAATGATATATTAAAACTATATTAAAAGAATAGAAGAAAGGATTTTATTAGAAAGTTAGTAAAGAAAAGAAAAGAGTGGAATGATAAAATTTTGGCTGTTTACAGTTTCGACACGGGTGGTTGTTATTGGTTATCAAGTAAAAACAATTTTACATGCTGGGTAAACAATGTTTTAAATCACATTTTAAAGTAGCAAATCATGGAAAAGCTGAAAATATCTTAATGAAAGGATTTTTCATAAAATATATCTGCGACAGCAAAGTTTTGGTTACCTCAACCACTTTCTTCTGAGCTGTTTGTCTTCCAGCCCCTTCCATGATGATTCCGCCGCCTGCCGCGAGCCCTGTGGGCGATGCTGCTCTCCTGTCAGGTGTGGCCTCCCAGGAGCTCTGGAGATCATCAGCCCCAGGCTACCCTGGGCTGCCCACACGCCACATCAGCCACCGGGCCAACAACTTCAAGAGACACCCAAAGAGGAGGAAACACATCAGGCCCTCACCTCCCCCGCCCCCCAACACTCCCTGTCCCATGGACCTGGTTGACTTTGGGGATCTCCAGCCTCAGAGGTCTTTCCTGGAGCTCCTGTTCAATGGGTGCATTCTCTTTGGGCTTGAATTCAGCTATGCCATGGAAACAGCCTATGTTACCCCTGTGCTGCTCCAGATGGGGCTTCCAGACCAGCTCTATGGGATGGTGTGGTTCATCAGCCCTATATTAGGTAACTTTTCGTGGTGCTGTTTCTTCCCTCTTTGTTATTTCACTATGGGATTTTTTAAATTTTATGTTTGCAGTACCTCAGCTGTTCATGAGAATACTCTCTCGAGGTTAAAAACTACTAACCAAAATTTCAGACAGATAAATAGGAGGACAATTCTTGCTGTGCCCTGCCTGAAATAAGACAAACGTGCTCAAAATATCTGTTCCTTTAATAACTTCTCCACCTCTTAAAAGTTGTGTGGGAGTAACCTTTGGTTGCTCTGTTACTGTACTTAAAAACAAGCATAAGAAGATCAGTGTATCCATTTATGTCTCCATGAAAAAAAGCATACAGAGACAGTTTTCAAGGGTGTGTGAAAAAAGCAGAGTGGGATTGCCTTCTCCTGTTTACCTTTCTGAAATGAATGAGGTGTTCCAATGATGAAAGCCCATTGACCACTGGTGATACAGGCATTGAAATGAGGCAGGGCTGGGAGTGAATCCATCACTATGGATACCACTGGAAAATTTTGTTCTGCCTGTCCTTGTACTCTCAACATGTGCTTTGGAAGAAGAGAGAGGCCCCTCCTAACAGGCTGGCACAGATTAATACAGGCATCTTTCCTACTTGATTATTTGCTTCCTGCTGTTTTCCAGCTAATCCTGCAGGGGATCTCACATCTAATATGGGATAAATGAGATGGCTTGTAAGGAACAGAGTGCTTAAGAATGTGTAACTTGTACTCTGACTCTTCACCTGGTGTCAGACTGTGTGTTGCTGATGCAGAGTGAAGTGCCCTGCAGTGAGCAGCAGCACATTCTGAGTCCCTGTGCTGGGCACTGCCAGGCAGTGTGCTGTGTCCCTGGGTGGCTGGGGATGTCACTGCCCTGTGCTGTCCTGCCTTAACTGCCCTTTAGGGGACGCCTGTTTTAACTCCTCTGTTAAACAGGCTTCTAGAAGAATCCTGTCCATTGGTGATTCCTTTTTTCTAGGGTTTTTGCTGCAGCCTTTGCTGGGAGCCTGGAGTGACAGATGCACATCAAGATTTGGGAGGAGAAGACCTTTCATTCTGGTTTTAGCAGTAGGTGTGTCTTTTAGAAATGATGGGCATAACACTTAAAAACGTTGTGCATCTCTCTTCTGTGACATCCCTTGTGGCACTCAGCTGAACAAAATGCACCTGAGGTGTTGGGTGTTGTGGGTCTGAAGGAGATGGTGAGTGACACAGCTGATGCTTTGGCAGCTGGAGATCCACAGATAAAAGCTTCTCAGAGTCTGAAGGGATGTTTTGAGGGTCAAGAAAGTAAACTCTAGACATTTGTTAATCTCGAATAGTGGAAAAGGATTATGTGTGTCCTATAAGCCACACTGATTTCCCAGGCTGAATTGATATGAACAAGAGCAATAGTGCTGCAAGGCTGTGCAGGTAGAATGATGCTTTTGGGGTCTGGAGCTCTGCAGGCTTGCTGACAAACAGTGACTGATTTTGTTTTGGTTTTGTTCCCAGGAGCATTGCTTGGGCTCTCGCTTATGCTGAATGGCAAAGATATAGGGAGTGCCTTGTCTGACACTGAGAATAACCACAAATGGGGGATCATCCTTACAGTCTGTGGTGTTGTCCTCATGGACTTCAGTGCAGATTCAGCAGACAATCCCAGCCATGCCTACATGATGGATGTGTGCAGCCCAGTGGATCAGGACAGGGGCCTCAACATCCACGCTTTGTTAGCAGGTATGTCTGCTTGCTGCTTCCTGGGAGATGTGAGTCAACAAGCCCTGCTGGGAGAAAGCAGAGTGGAAACACTGGTCTTCTCCTGAATAATGACCAAATACTGAGAGGTATCACTAATTAACTGTAAAAAATATCATCTACTTACTGCAAAAGGCTTTTGTAACAACCTCAATTCTAACAAGGTACAGTCTTGGGCTGTTCATCTGAAGGTCCCTCACATATTTTGTAAGACCTATGGAAACAAAATTATCCCTTGAGGGAGGAGGTTTGGCTTCCTGCAGGTGTGGAATATGTGTCTTGTAGTTGCTCTCTTGGAGGCAAAAGTGCAAACTGGGTGCTGTTGATCCCTCTCTGCTGTCATCTTCAATTGCTGTGCTGCCCTGTTCTAGGAGACCATTCCACACTCTTGAATGTGTTTGTGAGTAAGGAAGGAGAGTGTTGAAAGACTTTCACCCTGTGAATGGAGAGAAAGGTGCTCTCAAACCTTCCCTGTTCATCAGTAGTAACACAGTGGCAGTTTTGCACACTGTCAACACAGTGCTGAGTAATGAGCTTGCTACACTTCTGAAGTGATTGGATCTGTCTTAGTTAGATCTGCATTCCTCATATGAGGAAAATGGATTTTCACTTTCAGGAAAACAGTCTTAGCTGAATGATTGCAGAGCCTTGTCACAAGGCTGGTGGACACTTCTGTTTACGGACTGAAATAGCTAAAGGTAAGGTGTTTTGTTCTTGGCAAAGAAAAATAATAACTTATAATTATTTGTATCATCACTTTCACAGCACTTTCTGTACCATGTTGGTACATGCAGACTGTCCTTGTGGCACAGCTGTGTTTATTAGTGCATTCAAAATGAAAAGGGCTCAAATGGTAAAGCAGAAATGTCAGATTCTCTTCATGATTCACGATACAAGTGATGCTGTGCTGCTGCTGACTTGTGGGACTGGATAGGAAAGATAATCTTAGCTCTGTTTTTCCACCAGGTCTTGGAGGTGGCTTTGGTTATGTTGTTGGAGGAATACACTGGGATAAAACCAGTTTTGGAAAAGCTGTAGGAGGGCAACTCCGTGTCATCTATGTCTTCACCTCAATTGTACTGACCATTGCTACTGTGCTGACTCTAGTTAGCATTCCAGAGAGACCCTTAAAGTCCTCTAACAGGAAGAAAAAGGTGATGAAAAGTCCAAGTCTTCCTCTCCCTCCTTCTCCACCTTTCTTCTTTGAGGACAATGTAAATGAAAACTCTGCTTCTCATAACTCAGCTCACTTACATGCAAGTTTTACGAGTCCTGTTTCCCCCATGAGCCCACTCACACCAAAATACGGGAGTTTTATCAGCAGAGACAATTCCTTGACAGGACTTAATGAGTTTGCATCATCCTTTGGGACTTCAAATATTGACAGTGTGCTTATAGACTGTTTTACAGGAGGACATAATAGTTACATGACACTTCCAGCTAGTTTGTCCAGGCAGCCTGTCAGTGTCAGCTTCCCTCGGGTGCCTGATGGCTGCTACCATGGAGCAAATGGAATTCTGGAGCAAGGGGAGAGCAGCTTAACATCAGGGTGTGACAGTGATGTGCTGAGAGTGGGCTCACTGGATGCAATAAAGCCACGTTCATCAGGGATCTTGAAAAGACCTCAGACCTTGGCCATTCCAGATGCTGTAACAGGACACTGCCCAGAGAATAACAGAAGAAGAAATGTAACCTTCAGCCAGCAGGTAAGAGCAGGAAATCAATGATATGACCATGTAAGCATGAGTGTTATTAATCTCTTTGTATAGTTTTAAATATGTGGTGCACAAATTGTTCATTAAAGACTCTTGTGACAGCTTCCTCATAAAAGTCATTACAGGAACAGCACACCTGCTATGACTCTATATCAGTAAAGCAGTGGGTAGAGTGTGAATTATGGCTGACAGTCTGTCAGCTGCCTTTGTTAAGATGGGAGAAATGGGAATATCCCACTCTTAACTGGGCCACTTGTGAGAGTTAGGTCAATATTTTTAGTCCTGCTTCACTACCAAGGGAGTTACCACATGAACTTAGAAAAGGTCACATTTTTATTGAGCCTGTATCTTCCCTTTCCACAGAAAGACCTGCAAAATAGGGCCAGGGATAGGATTCTCCCATGAGCTTCTCCTTATGGCAGTCATTACATCTGGCTCCATCAGGGAGGTGAGCTTTTCCCTTACTGAGGGATAAGACTCTGACCTCACCTCCCACTGTTGGTGATAACTTGGAATGTCTGAGACCTCTGCATGCTGGCCCATTTTTTTATGATCTGGGATGAGGTAAACAGTCCTCTGTTATTTTGATTTGGTTTGGTTTGGTTTGGTTTGGTTTGGTTTGGTTTGGTTTGGTTTGGGGATTTTTTATTTTATTTTAATTTTTGGGGGTGGTGGTTTTTTGGTTTTGTTTGTTTTGTTTGTTGTTGCTGTGCTTTTGACCCAGTTTGTGAGAGCAGACTTTGTTAGGGCCAGGATTTTACGTACTGGGCACACTGAGGTTGAGCATTGAGGTTAGCAAGTGATAATGTGTTTCAATTAAACTCATCCTCTTCTTCCTCAGTGTCTCTAAAACTTCAGGCTCCACATTCACCTGAAAGTGGCTACAGCTCCTATAAATGCAGTGGAATTGATGCATTCCTGCTGTGCCTGTGCATCTGAATGTGGTTACCAAGTCCCCTAGTGAAGGGAAGGAGCTGCTTCAAGCACCCTGAAAGCTACAGTGCAGTGCTGCCATTGTCACTTGTTCCACTCTAATTCACTTCTTAATCTCCAAGTCAGCTCCAGCAGCAGAGTTTAACTGTCAGATGATGAGATAGGTGTGCAGTATTGCATCCATCTGCTGAAGGGTGTTTGTGCTTTCCCTTGCTGTGTGTTGACCTGGCAGTTCTCACGGTGCAGGTTGCCAACATCCTGCTGAACGGGGTCAAGTACGAGAGCGAGCTCAACGAACCGGGCGAGGCCTCGGAGCAGCCGCTGTCGGTGAAGCTGCTGTGCTCAACCATCTGCCACATGCCCAAGGCTCTGCGGAACCTCTGCATCAACCACTTCCTAGGTACTCCCAAAGCCCCTCCTGCCTTCTCCAGGGAGTGTTGTGTTTGCCAGGCACCCCCAGAAAGGCAGGAATGATGCATCTCACTCCATGTTCTCAGAAGGCTCATTCATTACTTTATTATACTATCTATTCTATTCTATTCTATTCTATTCTATTCTATTCTATTCTATTCTATTCTATTCTGTTCTGTTCTATTCTGTTCTGTTCTATTCTGTTCTATTCTATTCTATTCTATTCTATTCTATTCTATTCTATTCTATTCTATTCATTATATTATCCCACAGGTGATTGTTTCATTGCATTCTACTGTGAGTTATTTTGACTCTTTGGCCAATCGGTGCCAAGCTCTGTTGGGACTCTGGAAAGAGTCAGGAGTTTTCATTATTATCTTTTTAGCATTCTGTAAATATCTTTTCTGTATTCTTTAGTATAGTATAGTATATTATATTATACTTTATATACTTTGTAATACTATATTACATTAAAGAATACTATGCTATAGTATAGTATAGTATATTATACTTTATATACTTTATAATACTATATTATATTAAAGAAGACTATGCTATAGTGTTCTTTATATACTTTATAAAACTATAAAAGTATACTTTATAAAACTATATTATATTAAAGAATACTATGCTATAGTATAGTATAGTATATTATACTTTATAATACTATATTACATTAAAGAATACTATACTATACTATACTAAAGAATACAGAAAAGATATTTACAGAATACTAAAAAGATAATAATGAAAACTCCTGACTCTTTTCAGAGTCCCAACAGAGCTTGGCACCGATTGGCCAAAGAGTCAAAATAACTCACAGCAGAATCCAGTGAAACAGTCACCTGTGGGTAAACAATCTCCAAACACATTCTAAAGGAGCAAAACACAGCAGAAGCAAATGAGATAAGAATTGTTTTCATTTTCTCTGAGGCTTCTCAGCTTCCCAGGAGAAAAATCCTGGAGAAAGGGATTTTTTCAGAGAATGTGAATGCCACAAGGGAAGACTCTACCTTGGGTGAACCTTTTTCAATTTTATCTATTGCTGCAATGGCTGCTAATAGAGACAATTTGATTTCTTCCATATAGATATTAATGAGGTACCTTCTTAGAACAATTAGAAAGGAAAAAAACCCCAAAACACCCCAGCAAAGCAGTAAAGCCTGTGTTCCTAGAAAGGGAACAACAAGAGCCTAAACCAGTACATCTTGAGGGGAATGTTCACACCAAGCAGAAAGATGAGATTAGTTGTATTTCCATGCTTTCCCCCTGAGACTGGCATTTACTTTCCTCCCTTTGCTCATGGCCAGGGGTCCCAGAGCAGGCCAGGAGGGTGTGGAACATGGAACATGGCATTGCAGGAGTAATGTAACCAGTGTAGTGTTACCTTCACTCTTAACCAGTGTGGGGCTGCTGTTCAGGAAGGGCTTGCACTCATTCCAGTTTACACTAAATTGGACAGAAGGGACCAGGTAATTAATACTCATTGGCTGTGAAAGGAATTAGGGGATTGTCTACATCAATGGCCTTGGTGCCAATTTGTGAGCAGAGTTTGTAACTGTGTCAGAGGCACTCTGGAGGCTGCAGCCATGACATAAGGAGCACTCCTTCCAGTCCTGTGTGGGAGGATAACAGCAACCTGAAATTACTATGGGATGAGCCACTCTGTTAAACTGAGTGCTGTGTCCTGTCAGAACCTGAACACAGCTCAGACTGCTGTCATCTATTTTTCTGTCTTGTTAAACCAGTATTTTGTGGCCTTTAGTCAGCCTCAAGGTTTCCACTTAGGAATTCAAATGGTAAATCTTGGTCTTTAACAGCCTGAATGTCTTTAACAAACATTGCAGCATTATGCACAGGAGCAGCGGGCTCAGATAAATGTGGATGTTATGTAACACTCCTTGCACAACCTGTCCTGGAGTGTGATTGTAATTCACCTGATAACATCCATGTCAGCTTGCAGGGGGAAACAGATGTTCTGAAATCCTAATAAATTACTTTTCTCTTCTTTCAGGGTGGCTTTCATTTGAGGGGATGTTACTCTTTTATACTGACTTCATGGGAGAAGTGGTGTTCCAAGGGGACCCAAAAGCACCTCACAACTCAGATGAGTATCAGAAGTACAACACTGGGGTCACCATGGGCTGCTGGGGAATGTGCATCTATGCATTCAGTGCTGCTTTCTACTCAGGTACTTGGTACAGCTCTCTGAACTGCTTTGGGAAAAGATACATTTCTTAAAAGTGGTGATTCTGCAACAAGTGGGCAGTGTTTATGTTGCACACAGCCTAGCATGGCACAAGTGCTGTAGCAGAGTGGTTTTTGTCACCCCATTACCTCTGCTGCTTAGCTTGGCCTGCACTGACAGCAGCTGAGGTCAGCAACCCAGTGAAGACACAGCTCTGTTGGGATGTGGTTCCTTTCACAAGTGGCATTTTCAGAGTCCATGGCATGCAGAGATCCATGCAGTCACCATAGGCACAGCACCACCCAGGCAGAGCCCTCAGGTGTCATGTGCCACCCCAGCCCTGTGGCAGTGTGTCAGTGTGCCAGTGTGCCAGTGTGTCAGTGTGCCCTGCCTCTGCCTGTGTTCCCATTTACCCTCTGGGACAGGGGCAGAGCCTCTGCTCTGCCGTGCCCTCTGTGCAGACAGGGCAGCAATGCTGCATCATGGAAGGCAGCTTTGAAAAGGTCCTTGGCACTCAGTTCCTCAGGGGCTGCCACTGAGATGTGGCTGCTTAAGCAGGGGTGGCAGTGGGAGGGCTGCAGGTCACCCCAAACTGTCCCGTTTCCTTGCAGCCGTGCTGGAGAAGCTGGAGGAGCGCTTCAGCACACGGACCCTGTACTTTGTGGCCTATTTGGCCTTTGGGCTGGGCACGGGCCTGGCCACGCTCTCCAGGAACGTCTACGTGCTGCTGTCCCTGTGCGCCACCTACGGCATCCTGTTCGCCACGCTCTGCACGCTGCCCTACTCGCTGCTCTGCGACTACTACCAGAGCCGGGAGGTGAGCCCGGGCTGGGCGGGGCCGGGAGCCCGAGACATCCCTCTGTGTGCCCTGGGACACCCCTGACTCTGTGCCTGTGCCCTCTGAGACTCCCCCTGACTGTGGCTGTGTCCCTGGGACACCCCTGACTGTTCCTGTGTCCCCCTTTGTGCCTGTGTCCCCTCACTCTGTGTCCCCTGACTATGTGCCCTTGTTCTCTGTGTCCCCTGACTCTGTGCCTGTGTTCCCCAGGACACTCCCAGATTCTGTGCCTGTGTCCCCTGGGACTCCCCTGGCTCTGTGCCTGTGACACCCCCTGACTCTGTGACACCCCCTGACTCTGTGCCTTTGTCCCCCGACTCTATGCCCGTGTCCCCTGTGTCCCTTGACTCTGGCTGTGCCCCCCTGACTCTGTGCCTGTGTCCCCTGACTCTGTGCCCGTGTCCCCTGACTCTGGCTGTGTCCCCGCAGTTTGTCGGCTCGCAGTCGGAGGGCACTCGCCGTGGCATGGGCGTTGACATCTCTCTGCTGAGCTGTCAGTACTTCCTGGCACAGATCCTCGTGGCCGTGGCCATGGGGCCGCTGACGGCGGCCGTGGGCAGTGCCAGCAGTGCCATGTACTTCTCCAGCCTCGTGTCCTTCCTGGGCTGCCTCTTCTCGTCCCTCTGTGTCACCTACGAGCTGCTGCCCCCCGAGGAGCTGCCGCCCCTGGAGGAGCAGCGCCCGCTCCTGCCCCGAGCCAGGAACCAATAACGGGAGGAGCTGCCTCGGCCTCTGCTGCCTCCTGGCCTCGCCCTCGGCCTCCCTATCGCGACAGGCCGGGCTGTGCCCCCTGGGACGGCAGCAGGGGCTTGGCACACACAAGGAAGGGTCTGTGCTGGCTTTGCTGGGCTTTCCCCTGCCGGAGGGAAGGTGAGGGGCGAGGCAGCGGCGCTGGCACTGCTGTGTCCTTGCCCGAGGTGGCAGAGGGGGCTGGGGGTGCCCTCCGAGCTCTGGTGCTGCTGTCCCGGGCCGGCTGCATGTCCTGCATGGGACAGGCTCCCTCTGTCGCTGCTGGGCTGCAGGCACTGCTGCAGACATCGCCACCGTGGGAACGGTGACAGGGCCACTCTGGGGACACAAGGTGCCACCTCCCGGCCAGGCAGAGCAGCCCTGGTGTCACCGAGGGCAGTGCTGATTCCTGAGGGAGCTGCAGCTCCAACCTGCAGCCCCCGCCCTGGCTCTGGAGGGTGCTTTCCAAACTCTGGGAAGGCTGAGAGCAGCTGGTCTTGCCTGGGTGGTGTCAGTCCTCTGTCAGGTGTCAGTTAAGGCCAGGAGTTCATTTTAAGGCATTAATTAAAACTCTTTCTGGGTGCACAGAGCTGCCACCAGCAGAACTGCTCCAAGACACCTCTGTGGGCTGCCAGCACTGTGGCCTGGCTCCCACACCCCACTCTGGGGGTCCTGCCTGTGCTCCTTGGTGGTGTTTGCCAATATTGTGCATATTCCCGTCCTCATTAGAGTTTAATTAAGACTATGGGAGTTTGTGATGACGTAGCAGGAGGATTTGTCCATAACCCAATTCAGCAGTTGTCCATAACCCAGTTCTGGGGAGAAAGGTCTTTTCCCATCTCCTCCCTTGGGCAGAAGGTTACTCTCAAGAACTTTATTCATAAGAAAAATCATTTGTATGGAAGCCTGCATCACATAATTCTTGTTTTTACAATTTTACCTTGGGACATTCTGAAGTCTGGGGATCAGTGGCTCAGTGCTTGTGAATTACAGCTGCATCTTCCTCATCTCAGTGAAACCAGTAAAAGGGCTTTGGGTTTCATTACATGAGAAATTTCTTAATTATTCTGATTTTAGGAGGTGGTGTGTGAGAATTTTTACAAGTCCTAGTTAAGGCCAGGAGTTAATTTTAATTAATTAATAAAACAATCTGTAAAGCCCCTGTCAGTCTGCCCCTGTGTTTGGGGAGGCAGCCAAGTCCTGCCAGGGCTGGTGGGCATTTTGTGTTCCCATGTGCTGAGCATGGCAGCCCTGCAGAGACTGCACCTGGTCCCCAGATCCAGAGGAAGGATTTTCTCTGGAGTCTCTCCTTTTAAATGGGTTGGACTCCACTTTTCACTAAGTTGATTCTGATCAATGATGCCAAGGTGAAATAATATCTGTAATCTTGAGTTGTTGTGGTTTACTGTAATCCAGTGCTGAAAGAATTAAACATAACTGGTAAGAACCCCTCATTTTTATCATCTGCTCCCAGTTTTTATATTTTAGAAGCAAGTATTGACATAAACAGAGGAATACTGCTGAAATGATCAAGTCAAGCACTCAGATAAAGGCCTGGTAGCTGTCAGACTGATGAGTGCATTGATCTTTCAGTTCTTTCTTTGGGCTTACACGGAGTCACATCTGCAGGAATTTCTGTGCCATTCCCTTCATTAGGGGACAGCTGTCCCCAAGAATGTTCAGGACACAGCTGGGTAAATAACATGGAAACAATGGCATTGGGCACTTCTGACAATCTAAACACTTCACTTTGCAGAATTATTCTTTTCTTGTTAGTCTGCTTTGTAATCTTAATTTCTCTTCTGTCTCAAGCTTTAAACTCAAAAATTGTTTTTATTTTTTGTTTGGTCCCACTAGCTAATGGGGTGTGAGTTCTTAAATATTTTTCTCCTCTTCAATTTTGTAGGCAGCATTATTGCACTAAATGGATTGTGAGCACTTTACTTTTCCAGGGAGCTGGAGTTGCAGATCATTTTGTTGCAAGTGAAAAATCTTAAAAAAATTCATCAATCAATGTATTTGATTATAATGTTTGTCTCCATTTCCCTCTGTAAATAATATCAACTACATTTATGTAGTTATAAAACTCTTGCTATGCCTGTATGCCCAATGGACTCTATATTAAATTTTCTTATTTTATGGGATATGGACTTTATTTTGTAAATGTATTTATGTAGTGGTGCATACCCAGGACTTCTGAGTCAACATCAGTGTGTGTTAATTTGGGGCTCTGAGCAATACTAGTGGTGTCTGGAATAAAAAACCAGAGCCTGCCACCATCATGCAGAGTTAAAAGTTGCACCAAATCCTCAGAAATAACTTTAAAAAGAGGCATTGCTTACTTGCTGATTCTTTCCTTTGTCAGGCATTTTGTATTTTACAGAAATGACTGTGTATGGTCACTGGTGAGCTGTGAGCTGCAACGTGATGTTCCCCCTCTGGAATCCAAAGGCTTCAAATATTCTGGCTAAATTTGCAAGTTACTGATTTAAAAAAAAAAAAAAAAAGATGCATGAGTTTAGGCAGGAAAATGATTTTACACTGTGCTGGTTTTCAGGTTAATTTTGATTAAGTCCATATCATTAAAGGTTGCTTCATGGTAATTATTTGTGATGTTTGTAAATGTATTTATTACACTTGTTCAGAAGCAGAGAAAATGGGGAGAGGGATGGAGAAAAGCCCTAACTGGTTTTGACATGTTTGTAATTAAAAATTACACCTGTAACCATTTCAGCATGTCTGCAGCTCACTCAGCCTCTGCTGTGTCACTCAGAAAAACCTCCTGATTTCAGAACTTCTGCTGTTCTTTGGTTGGAAAAATAAATCTTTTCAAGAATAAAATAGAATAAAATTTATATATATAAATATAGTATGTATCTATTATATATAAGGTATACTGGGAAGTGTTTAAGTGTTCTCTAGACAATTTATTTTCTACAAATGAGTAATTAAGCATCTTGCACTCTATAGGAGATACACTTTATTAAAAAAAGAATATGTGTAATTTCTTAATGTGTTCTCCCTCCCTCAGAGGTTGGTTACACTAACAGCTTTATTGAAATGCAACACTGGAAAATCTGCCTGGCATTTTTAGAATCATTTAAGTGCTGCACAAAGGAAACCCCAAAAGCTCAGGGGTCCATCTAAGGTAGGAGAGACTTGGGTGGGTTTCTTGTCTCTTGGAACGGGGTCAAAGATGGGATTAAACAGCAGGACTTGTAAAGAGGGACTGGGGCAGTGAGTTACAGGAGACTGAAATCTTTCTCTTTTGCTTTTAAATGAACAAACAGCGCCAGAACCTCTCTGGAGAGTAAGCAGAAAACCAGCTGCACTTGTATTTGCATCTGTCTGTGCCAGGCTTGCCCTGAGCCGCTGCCCTGCTGTTACAGTGAAAGCACAGCCAGGGGTCAGAACTCTGACAGGAGCAGGGCAAGGGCAGCTGGGAGAGCACCGGGAAACAGCGGCACACCTGGGGAGTTCAGCAAAGCCTCTTCCAGGCACCACACGGGGCAACGGCGAGCCCTGACCGAGAGGAGAAAGCAGCAGAGGGCCGGTGCAGAGTGCAGAGGTAACGCTTTAATGGGACCGACAGGGCGGGAGAGCTCGGGCCCGGGAAGGCCGGAGCAGTCGCGGCTGAGAACAACCCCGGGCCGGTGGAGTCTGGGGCCGGAGCAGTCCCGGGCCAGTGCAGCACCGGGTGAGAGCAGTCCCGGGCCGGAGAGGTCCCAGGCCGGAGCAGTCCGGGGCCGCTCGGGACCCTCCCGGCCGGGCCGTGTCAGGGCCCGGTTCCGGTACCGGTTCCGGTGTCGGTGCCGGTCTCGGCCGAGCCGTCCGCAGGCGCAGCCTCTGTTTGCTGCTCGCGCTGTCGCCGCCGGCGCAGCCTCTCGGCGCCGGTCACCGTCATGGGGTGCAGCGGCAGGAACCCCGCCAGCCCTGCCCGGTGAGAGGCGGTGAGCGCGGCAGCGAGCGCGGCCCGCCCGCCCCTTCCATCCCCGCTCCCCCCAGGCCTACCCAGGAGCTTCTCGGCGGGCCGGGAGAGCTGCGCGCCGCAGCCCAGCCAGTAGCGCAGCCGCTCCAGGTTGAGCCCCGCCACCTTCTCGCCGTGCGCGTTGGGCAGCGGGTCCAGGCAGCCGAGCTGCTCCAGGTACTTCCCGTCGCGGGCGCGCCGGCTGTTGGCCGCCACGATGCGGAAGAACGGGCGGTTGGTGCAGCCCCCCAGCGCGAAGCGGATGATGACATGGCCGCCGCGGCCCCTCAGGAGGCGGCTCCCTGCGGAGAGAGCGCGGGGCGGTCACGGCCGGGCCGGGCCGGGCCCAGCGGGGCCGCTCCGGGCCCGCCGCACTCACCGAGCTGCACCATGGCTGCGGCACGGCCCGCGCGCGGCGCGCACAGATGACGTAAGCGGAAGGAAGCCGCGCGGTGGCTGCTGGGAGTTGGAGTCCATCGGGATGACGTCATTGGGCAGCCCCACGTCACAGCGATTCTGCGGAGCACGGGCTCCTCAAAAAAGGAGGGTACGGCCCCAAAATGCCTGGAAATTCACAGGGACCGTGCGCGTGTGTGTAAAATACTGAAACTGCAGAGTTTGTAATTTTTATATCTATTGGCAAATAACGGCGCTTTCTATAAAAATTGATTTTAAAATAACCCCCCGTATCTGCTGCATCATACACAGGATTTTAGAATATAAGAAATCCAGATCTACCTTAGCCAGTGCATCTCTATCCCACGCTTTTCCTCTTCCCTACCACACTGCCCCAGTTTCTTCAGCAGAGGGAGCTCCAGCTTTACCTTTGTGCTGCCTCGCCTTTCTCGAGGATCGCCAGAGGAGCTGGGAGTGAGTTCCTGCTTCTGGAGCCTTCCCTGGCAGCAGCACCCACCCAGCTCTGCTGGGCGCCTTTCCCTGGAGATGTGCCCCGGCCTCACCCCGACCTGGCAGCTGCTGACAAAGGTGCCCTGAGGGGAGTTAAGGCCTGAAGGATGAAGCTGCTGAGGAGGAGAATTCCAGGGCTGCACGGCGCTCTGCTCCCCCTGCAGACTGGGAGCGGGTGAGGGACAGGCAGGGGACGCTGCTGGAGGTGGCTCCAGGTTCATCCCTGCCTTGCCAAGCCCCTTTCCTGGCTGTCAATCCCAGCACAAACCGGTACCTGCACACTGTGCACATCCCTTCCCTCCATCCCCCTCCCGTTTTAGGATGCTCAGCTGCCTCAGCCCCACCTGCAGGACGATGTCGGCCCCTCTGTGGCTCCTGATGCTCCTGGTGTCGGATTTCAGCTGGAAACACCCTGAGTGCTTTGGAAAGGCTTCCCAAGAAACCAACTTCTCCTTCAGGAACCTCTCACCCAACACAACCTGAGCCACGAGTGGTTCAACCAACTCAAGCACCAGAATTGCACAAAATGACCCAAAAGCAGCCCTGTCCCAGCTGGCAGGGTGGCTGCAGTAGCCTTGGAAACCTTGGCCATGCTGCTGCCTGCCTGGCTGAGCTTTTCCTCTTTGCTTTGTTCAGTTCAGGGTTTTCCTCTTCTTTTCCCAAGCAACAATCAGTTCCCTGGCAGCAGAACACAGCTCTGTGCTGGGGATGGGGATGCCCATGGAGCAGCATCTGCTGGTGGATCAGAAACCTTGGGAAGGGCCAACCATGCACGAGCACACACCACACACACGATGTACAAACACACACAAAATGTACTCAACACACACACACAACGTACAAAGCACACAGCAAACACAACATACAAAACATTTATTCAGACCAGCCTGCCTGCACAGGATGCTCAGCAGTGGTTCCACCCCTGGCTCTGGCACCCCCAGCCCCCCAGAGTCACCCCCTTGCCTCGAATGGAGCACAGAACACAGCAGGGAAGGCAGCAAGGCAGGAGATCCTTCCTCTCCCCTTTCAGAGATCCATCCTCTCCCCTTTCAGAGATCCATCCTTTCCCCTTTCAGAGATCCATCCTCTCCCCTTTCAGAGATCCATCCTCTCCCCGTTCAGCTGCTCCCCAGCAGCCAGCAGAGACCTTGGCAGGAGTCAGGGCTGGCTCAGGGCCACCAGCCCAGCCCAGCTGGGAGCCAGGGAGAGCCCTGGTGCTTCTCTGGCAATGTGCTTCCCCTTCCTCAGAAAGAAAAGACATCCAAAAAAAAGAAACATTTCACTTTTCCACTTGGAAAATCCTTCTGCAACATCAGTTTGGTGGCTTGGAAAAGTCTTGCAGGAAGAGAGAGGGAGAGGAGATGAGGGATGCACTGGGTGGTCTCATTTCAAACACCACAAGGGACACTTTTGGCATGTCCAGCCTTCATTTACTTCACAGCAGCAGAATTGTGGTGTTCAGGTTTCTTTCCCCACAGTCCCAGGGAAAAGGAGTCCCATCCTTGTGCCACAGCACGTCCTCCACGTGGCAGCTTCCAGGCAGCCCTGGCTGCTGCTGCCCCCACACACCAACCCCCTCTGGGCACGGTGGGTTTTAAAAAACCCTCAACCAAGCAGCATCACAGATTCCTCTATATTTTTAAGGCATTTGCTGGCCCACGGGCATTTTCTCCTGGATCTCCTCATACTTGGGCGGGGGGGTGAGGGGCTCTATGGTGATGGGGACGCTGCTGTTGCCCTGTGCCAGGTTGAGCCGGATGTCCTTGAGGTGCAGCTTCTCGGACTTGATCCTGCGCACCTTGAGGGGCTTGAGGCGCTTGCTGAGGCGGGAGCCGTGCCGGCTGGGCGGCCGCTCCGGGCCGGGCTCCGCGCCCGCCGCCCCCGGCGCCGCCCCGCCCTCCTCCAGCCCCGCCAGCGACTCGTACGAGGGCAGCGCCACGCTGAGCCTGTTGCTCCTGTCCGAGTCTCTGGGCTCCGAGTAGCCCGTGTTCATCACCTCCTCGTAGCTGGGCACGTAGTACTGCGAGGAGACGTCTTCATCCTCTTCTTGGCTGGAGGGGAAAGAGTTAAGTGTGGGTAGCACAGCTTCGTTTGGGAAGGGGATGGAGAGGGAAGAATAAAACCACCCCACCCCACCAAAAAATAGTTTTTGCCCTTTTCCATTATATGCCAGTTTCCTTTTGCTTGACAGAATAAATAGTGACCCCGCCTAGGTTCAGACAGATTTTATTTTCTTGTGACTTATGGCCACAGACCACAGGAGTGGTCTTATGGCCACTTCTCTGCCCACAGACCCTTTTCTATTGCCCAGCAGTGATTTCTTCCCTCAAGAGAACATCAGTTTCTCTCCTCTCCTCCACTCACAAAAATCAGTCAAAATACATTGGAAAAGGACACCACCCCTCTGTCTTTGTCATTCTGATGTCTTATGGGTTGGGTACCTCAGGTTTTTCTGCAAAGAGATTCAACTCTATGCCACCATCTATGCACAGGTACCTGCACACAATACTTGCCATTTCTTTGGCATTCTGAAGTTAGCTTTCCAATTAAACATAAAAAATCAGTTTTCTCTGAGGATCTGCAGACCAGAGGCAGCAGAGCCATTGTCCCCTCCTGTCCCCCTGCACCCCACACAGTCTGAGTGCTCCCCTCTCTCCCTGCACAGGGAGCCCTTCCCCTGTGCCTGTGTTTGTCCAGCCTGTGCCTGCTGTGGCAGCAGCCTTTGCTCTGCCCCACAGAACTCCCTGAGCAAACAGCTGAGCCCTGCAGACTTTCACCAGGTCTAAACTCCAAGGCTCTTTGGCACCTTGGCTGCACCCAGCCAGGCAGAGCCAGCCCCTCTCCCACCTTATGAGTTACATTTGGGTAGCACAGCTTCATTTGGGAAGGGGATGGAGAGGGAAGGATAAAACCACCCCACCCCACCCCACTAGAAACAGTTTTTGCCCTTCTCCATTATGTGCCATCTGGCTGCTCAGGATCCTGCTCAGATTCCCTCAGCTCACTCCTGTGTGCCAGCCCAGCAGTGGCACCTCTCCCAGTGCTGCCCTGGCCTCAGCTCTGCCCAGACCCCACCTCACACCCCAACAGGGCTCCCTTCCACTCACAGCTGCACAAATGCAGCCGGGCTCATTCCTTTCCCAGCTCCAGGACACACCAAAACCCTCAACTATGGTCTGTGCTTCCTTATTTCAGCACAGGCTGCCTTCCTCCGATGTCGCTGTAGGACACGAAAGAACACGAGCTCACATTGCTGCTCTCAAGGTGAAGAAAAAAGGGAAGTTTATTTTCTGACTCCAACATTTATAGTTTTCTAAGAGTGACAGTGCCACTTCTCCAATGACACTGGACAAACCAACAGTCTATCAACTTTCTCTTCTTCTATAAAACAATGCAAAACAATGAGTTATTTACAGCAAGTGTGTGAGAAAGTTCACTACAAGAACGTAAACATCAGAAGGCTTAGAAAATCTTAAAAAATCAGAGTGACACTCCAGATCCTCCTGAGTGACAACATCCCTTGGCTTTGTTCCCACCCTTTGTCCCCAGCCCTCCTCACCTGTCCTCCTGCTGCGAGGGCTCTGTGGACACCTGGCGCTGCACGTGGCCGACGGAGAGCTCCTGGCTCTGCCTCTTCTTGTCGCGCACGCTGAGGCACAGGGAGAGCAGCAGCAGCAGCAGCCCGGCCCCCACCAGCACGTAGGCCACCGAGAAGGTTTTGCTCCTGAGGATGCCGCCGGAGCCGCGCTCGGGTTTGCTGCTGTTGCCGCCGGGTTTGTCGGGGGGCCCGAAGCCGGGCACCAGGTTCCACACGGCCATGATGATGCCCAGCACCAGCATGCCCAGCCCGATGGCCGTCAGGGCATAGTGGGAGCCGTTGGCCCGGGACTGGGCCATGGCTGCGGGGGGCTGCGCCCTCGTCGCTGTCACCGCATGGCTCGGGGCACGGCGGCTGCGGCCCTGCTGGCATCAGAGCTCTGGGGACACGGGGAAAAACCAAAACAGGGTGTGACTCCATCACCACTCCATCACCAACAACCCTCACAGCAGAACTCACTATTGTAATCACACTTTTCAGCTGATCTGCCTCCAGGATTATCCTCACAGGAGCACAATCCTACTCACTGCCTCACACACCCCATACATGCTCATGACAACACAACAAGGTGCTCTCCCATCCCTCACCACCTCAGTCCAAAACTCCTCCACATGAGAGTGGTGAGTGCATGGCACACAGCAAAGGCTCTGCAGCCACCACAGCACCAGTTTATCCATCTGACACTGGAATCTCAAGCTGATCCTCTCTAGTATCATCCTAAGCATTAAGGAGCTATGAGCCAGCATGTCACAGACATCTTTTATGAAAAACCCTTTCCTTATGTTTTTCCTCCTGAGAAGCTGAGAGGCCTCAGGAACAACATGTAAACAATGGTTATCTGCTGCTGTGGAATGCAACAACTGGATCTTTGATTGGCCCATGTTGGTTGTTTCTAATTAATGGCCAATCACAGTCAGCTGGCTCAGACTTTCTGTCCAAGACACAAGCCTTTGCTATTCATTCTTTCTTCTTCTATTCTTAGCCAGCCTTCTGATGAAATATTTTCTTCTATTCTTTTAGTATAGTTTTAATATAATATATATCATAAAATAATAAATCAAGCCTTCTGAAACATGGAGTCAGATCCTCGTCCCTTCCCTCTTCCTTGGACCCCTGTGAACACGGTCACACCAGCATTGGCCTTTTAAGCTAAAGAAAGAGGCCTCTCCCCCTCCCTAATGGTGTGCCTCAACTAAACCCCAGCCCCTGATTTTTTATCATGCTTACTTCATGATTTACCTTCTCCTCAATCATCCCACCTAAACTCCTGTCATTGGTATTGATAAACCCCCATCTACCAAATCACCCATTGCCCCAAGCACCACTCCCTGAGCCTGAGCATCTCACAAACCTCAGCCATCTCTCCTCAGGCTGAGGAGTTCATGGCAGGATGGAGCAGGATAGATCCTTTCTGGATCCTTCCTCATCCCCATCCTTCTCTACTTTCTCAGCTGTAATATCCACCAACCTTTGAAAGCCATCCAATCACTGATGTTTGCTAAGGGCTTAGGTTGCCTGTGCTTAGGAGTGTGATAATTGACAGCTTCACAGCATCAAAAGAAGGCCATCAAAATCGATTTCAAGAGCTGTTGCCAATACAAACCAACCTGGAAATGCTCAGCAACACCCCTCTAGCTGAGCAGCTTCTCCTCTCCCCCTGTTTGGGAGGGAGCAGGGCTCCTCACAGCACTGGCTGCCTGCCCTGGAATGCCTTCCAGCCCAGAGAACAGAAACCAAAACTGCCTCCCTCCCATCCAGCTCGACCCTGTGGCTTCCCCTGGCTGCTGCTGGCAAGGGCTGACAGGATGGAGAGCCCTTGGCAGGGCTCAGGCTCACTCCAGGCCGGCTCTCAACCTCTCTGGAGCAGCACACACTGGTGCTGAGTGCCCCACGCATCCCTCAGGGATGTCGAGCAGAACACTCCCAACCAGCCAGGCCACGGGTGGGAACTCCTCCTCTGACTGTTCTCCAATCACCAGTCACAAATGTGCTCGATTTCCAAAAATAAACACCCAGAGCCGCATTTCCTGCCTGCTTGCCTCCCTGGCCTCTGGTCCAGTGACCCATGGGTGGGCAGCTTGCATCCTCACAGCAGAGCTGCCCCATCTCCAGCCCAGTGAGCCGTGCAGGTCTGTGGATGTGCTGTGTCAGGGATCTCTCCTTCCCTCCCTGGCTTCTTTATGCAGGTTGGGCTGGAGGGGCTGTGGTCTGTGCTGTCAGTGGTGCTGTATCCACACACCCCCTCACACCCTTCAGCTCAACCCTCCCGAGCTCAGAAGTTTCATGTTTGCTTGTTTAGCTTGAGTGCACGCCCAGTTTGCAGGGTCAAGGGCCAGAATAGAACACAAGGGAGTGCAGCAGGAAAAGACTCGCACGCCAGCCTGGGGAGGAGGAACCTCAGAGGAACCTCCCTGCCCACTGCCTGTGCCCCAGCATGGCTGGGGAGGCTCCAGGGGGGTGTCCCAGCCCCTCTGCACACAGCCCTGGCCCCACAGGGCTCTGGGCAGGGTAAAGTCTGGTCCCTCGTGGTTTTTTGGGGTTCTGGGACAGCCAGGAGCTGCTGATCCCAGTGCAGTGGAAGCTGCCACAGGCAGGCAGGGACAAGCCCATCATTCCCTGCCTTGCCAGCTCCAGCACAGGTTCCTGTTCTCTGTGCTCTGGAGAAGGAACCCACTGAGCCCAGCTGTAATTCCATCCCAGTGAGCAGCTGTTGAGGATGTGGAAAGCACTCAGAATGTTCTCAGCTGGATTCCCAGAGCCATCCTCCCACCCAAACACTTCCAGGCCTGCCACTGGTGGTACCAGCCCTGCTCTCTGCCCTCCCACACAAAGGTTTTGCTCTCTGCTTGAGCCCTGTGGAGTTTTTCCCTCACCTGATGATCCAGCTGAGCTCCCATCCTTGCCACAAACACATCAGCCAGCCAAGCCTTCACTTGAGAACAGCTGTGATGGCCTCAGGGCAGGAAAACCGCACTGCACCCAGGGTGGGCACAGAACACACCCATGGCTGGTCACATCCACCCATGGTATCCAAATCTCTGTGCCTGCTCACCGCCTCTGTGCCTCCCCTCAGGCACCCCAGCCCTGGAAATGGGCAGGATTTCAGCTCCTACGTCACCCCTATGCCTGGAAGTTTTTTACAGCTCCATTGCAGTGCTACCCATCAGGCCAGCAATCAGATTAAAGAGGAGACTTGCTATTCCAGTCTATTTCTCCATTGAATTAGCTGCTCTCCTGCTTCCCAGAGCCGTTCCTATCTCTGCTCCAGCACTGCCCTGACGTCAGGATCCCGGGAAGGAGCTGCTGCTGCCTCTGCTCAGCTCCAACCCTGCCTGGAACCTCATCCCAGCACCACAGAATGGTTTGGGGTGGAGGGGCCTTAAAGCTCATCTCATCCCACCCCCTGCCATCAGCAGGGGCTGCTTCCACTATCCCAGGGTGCTCCAAGCTCATCCAACCTGGCCTTGAATACTCCTATGGATGGGGCAGCCACAGCTTCTCTGGGCACCCTGTGCCAGGGCCTCACCACCCTCACAGGAATTTCTTCCTAAATATCCAGTCCAAATTATCCCTCTTTGACTTTAAAATCATCTCCCCTTGTCCTTTCACAGCAGGCCCTGTAAAAAGTGTGCCCACATCAGGTTGGCAAGCAATGCCTGAGTTTATCAGCCCCTAGACCCCCTTCCCTTTCCCTGCAAACCAGACCCCTCCATCCATTCCCTGCCCGTTCCCTGCCCTGGCAATGATTTACACCAGGATCTCCAAACCATTAAACTCCTCCAGCACAAGCCCGGGGGCACCCACACCTCCTCCGGGCTTCCCGCACCTCTGCCCTACTCCTGCAGCTCCGGAGCCTTCCGGGATGCTCTTGCGACATCTCCCCGTGCTAACCGGGCACGGGAAGGTTCGGGATAAGCCCGTTCTCAGCACCACATGCCCCCAAGGCTTTGGCACGGCTGCCGGGCGGAGCAGCAGCAGGAACAGCTTCCCTCCATGGCCCACAGACCCCCGGCAGGCTCAGCCCGGATCCATTCCCCACCCCGCTGCCCCGGGAGGAGCTGCGGCCCCGCTGGTGCCTCAGGAGGAAGCCCGACACCCCCTGGTGCCCTCACAGCGCCCGCGCTCCTCTGCCCTCCGCAACCTTTGGATTTTTCCCTGCCATGACATCACCGTCCCACTCACGCTCCAGCAGCAGCACCTTTGTCACGGGATCGCGGGAGGGGAGGCTGCAGCGCAGGGAACAGGGCGAGCCCCGATGCACTCACCAGACACGGGATGAGCTCCAGGGCTTCCTCACGCCCAGAGAGACACAGCCCCCCAGAGCTGCCTCCAAAAACCAGGCTGGGACTGCACCACCAGTTGCACAACTCATGTTCTGGAAAATTCTGGGGGGAAATGAACCTGTTCTCCAACCATCCAAAGATTCCAGTCTCCTCTCTGTTAGATTACAAGGCTCTCCCTTCATCTTCATGCTTGCACCCAGAGAACCTGCTCATTAACCTCCTTCCCTGCTAATTGCTGGCCAGGCACATCCTCAGGAGCTTTTCCTGCAATGGCCACAGCCTCGTGTGTTACACAGGGGCTCAACCCACCAGGGACACAAAACTCCATGTGGGGCTCTAAAAAGCAACAGGTCAGGACTTGGGAGTATTTTCACAGAGTCCCAGAATGTTTGGGTTTGGAAGGGATCTTTAAAACCATCAGCTTCCAGCTCCCTGCTGTGGTTTCTCTCTTTTTGTCCCTTTTTGCTCCCCTGTTCCCCCTGCCCCAGGAGCAGGGGTGTTTCTGGCCAGCTGCAGCCCAGGGATGCAGGGAATAGCCAGAGAAACCCAGTTGAGTCACAAAATAAGCACTGCTGCTGATTTAGCCAATTTCTGATCTTTTGGACAAATCCCAGCCCATTTCAGAGCATCTCACCAGGGAATAGGAATCTGCAGGGACAGCTCCACACAGACTATCAGGGCTTTCCCACATTTTGCTTACCCTTCCTGCCTGGAGCACAGAAGAACACATCCACATCTCCATTGCCCACAGCATTCCCTACAGACACTTAACAGTTATTTTACCCTCTTTCTTAAATTTAATTTTTAACAACCCCTCCTCAGAGCTGTACCTTGTAGGGAACAGTGACGTTTTCCTCAAACCTTGCCCAAGGCTCTCCCACTCAGAGGCAGCCCAGGGCCCCCAGCTCTGGCACTTCCTGCCCAACAAGGGCAAAGCCCATTCCCAGGCTCAGAGTGCTGCAATCCACCCAGCTGGCCGTGGCCTCCACAGCAGAACAACAGTGACCCACAAAACCCCCATTTCCACAAAGCTGTGCCTGGCCATTCCCAAGCCATGTGCACCTGTCCCTGGGAACTGTGGGCACGGCTGCCAAGGGTTTCTGAGGTGGCACAGATCACACAGGGCACGGTAGCCAAACTGCAGAGCTGCAATCAGGGCTGTGCAGCAGCCACCACCTCGGCCTTTGCCACTGGGATACAGGAATCTGCCTCCCACACTGCTGCTCCCCATAATTCCATTATTTCCATCCAGCGGCAATGGACAGGGACAGGGAGTCCTTCCACGTCTGTGTTTCAGGACATTGCCATTTGTTCTGGGGACAATGCTGCCGTGGGCACCCAGGCCACGCTGGCACCGCTCTGGGCAGGTCAGTGAGCCCTGGCTGGGTCCTGGTTGCTGTGTAAACACTGTCCTGGGGCTTTTCCTGCTCCAGCCTCTGGGAACTACTGCCACACGAATGCTCCCACGCCCAGCTCTGCTAAACCAGGCAGGGGGGCTTGGGGTGATGCCTAGGGTTTTTAGCTTTTAATATTTTTCATATATTTCATATAAAATATATTTAATATTTTTCATATATTTAATATTTTCCATATATTTCCATCACTTGTAGCTTTGTAGGTTGTTAATGCACGGCTGTAACTCCCAGTACTTTTCCTATCTTTCCTCTCTACATTTAGGAACAATAAGCTAACCTTAGATACACTTTCCCAAAATGCTGTTTAGTCTTATTCCAAGAACAGAATCGACTACAAGGATGTCCTGTTTTCCAAACAGAATCTGGACCAGACAAAACAAAAGTGGAG